CCTTGTACTAGGTCTTTAGTCTCTGAAAAATTAATCAATAAATAAATAAATCAAAAAGAACCACTAAGGAGAGACCCAAAAATAATTATGAGATAGCATCAAGCATGGCAGCAGCATTTATATTTGAAACTGATCTGATAAGGAGAAAAATGGGAACACCTGTAACAGCTGAATTAAAGCTCTGAGGAGTTAAGAAAATTAGAACAGAAGGAAGATGGCAGTATTGATGCTGAACCAAAAGCCCAAGAAAAATCTCTAATCTGCCAGAGTCTGCTTTTCAGAACTTAGAAAACTTTTTTATAAAAAACATAGGATAAAGTGCGCTAACAACAGTACTGCTTTAGCCCATTCTGTTGTATCCTTGAATTGATTTCTTTTAAAAGAATAGCATCCTTCATCCCCCATTTAAACTTAATAAAATAAATGAACCAAGAAACATGGGCCTTTGCAGAAACAAGAGCCCTTCTTGTGCTTGTTAGACAGAAGGTAAGCAAGACAATTTAATGATCAATTCATTATGAGTATTTCTGTAAGATTTACTATGCAGCAAAAACAATGCAAAGAAGTAAGAAATTGGGAGTCAGGACAGAAAGGAGAAAAGATGCATAGTCAGAGTATACAAAAGTGAAAAATTAACTAGGTATATATCCAACTTTTATTTTGTATCTTTCATTCAAATCAGGAAAAATAAGCATGAGTTATATTACCTCCTTGCATGGATTTCAAGCTTTTAGAAAATTGACTTTGGAAAGTCATAACTACACTCTAGAAGTCTCTGAGGATATTCCTCTTTTATATCTTTTATTTATCCCTTTTATCTTTAATTATTTAAAATTTCTTTGTAGCTGCTTGAGAAGTCAAATAATTGAGAGATACTGTACCTGGAGAATCCTCTACATCCACTTCTAATGGAATTTTGTTCTCAAGGCTCATTAGGTCCATTCCTTCAAGAGCTCTGATGACCTCACCCAGGACATACGGATAATGTGACATAGTGAGCACTGTAGACAAAAGCTTATTATTAACACTGGCTGTTAAACAAATAATAATAAAAAAAAAAAGTGTGTCATTGAATCTGTAAGATCAAGAGCTGTCGTGAAGTAGACAGAAGGGACAGTGCATTACAACCAGTATAAAGGCTAAGTTTGAGTATTGTGAACTAGATGGGCTGTTTTCAGAGACAGAACCAATGCTTCCAGCTGTAAATGAAGGAGCTGTCATGACCTCAACAAACAAAATGTGAAAAATTGCCTCTTCTCACTGGCAGGTCAGGCAGAAAGTGTATACTGCAAAGTGAATGAGGAGGCAAGAGAGAGGTGAAGAACACATGGAAGATATTTATCAAATTGCAAATGGTTGCCTACCACTGACAGACAGGGATACAACAACTATTTCTCTTCCACTGCTCTCAGGCAGATCCCCCAGCAGGCATTTAGTACAATCCTTACCCTGCCCTCCTGATAAGAGTGGGAGATTGCTGCACCCATAATTCACAGATACAAAATGGCTTACACGTACTTTCAAAATACATCTGCAAATGATCCAAGGTACAGTAGGGTTGTTCTAGTAGCTGATGCCTGTGAGACCACAAATGACACAAGGTTTGCAGAGGAAAGTTAATATACTTTCTTAGAACAAATGATTCAATAGGAAAAAAATGGACAACTCTGAGGCGCACTTCTAGAGGCACAAACCTTTCTTCAGGTAACAGCAGTTTGAACAGCAGTTATTTGTACTAATAAAGATGTTTCCTATTCCTACAAACCTCTCCTGGCAAATTTTTTTAGAGAACATCTGATTCCCTCCCAACACACACTGCTGTGTTTTAATTCATATCCAGTGTTCCTGATGTGATGAGAAAAAAAAAAAATCCCAAATCTGTCATATCTGCTACAGTCTTCCTTTGTAACGGTATTCATTATTGCTCAAGTCTGTATAAGGAATAGATAATACATGTTTTGTTTTTTTTGACAACTACTCATTTCATCAGGAGTTTAGATGTGTAGAACTGTGTAGACATAGGATTTAAGCAAGCACTGTTTAAATCAAATTTTGTTTTTAAAAGCTTGATTGACAGGACACCATGCCATGTGACTGCTATGCAAATTATAACTTGTATCCACTAGAAAACAAAAAGTAGAAAAAGTTTGATTTTTCTTTTGGGCATGCCAGAACAGGCAAAAAATGTTTCCTATTTTGAAGAGATTTATTTTAGATGCCAGACGCAGGACAAATTACTACTGAAAATATAAATCAATAAAAATTTTTGTGTAATTTCTCACTTGTGGAAGCTTTTCTGCTGACCTTTTAAAAGCCACTTTACATGATCTCTACATGGCTTACAATGACCATGATAACAGCAGTTCAAGTACTGTTTGCTCTGGGGCAGGGTCAAAACTCAAACTTTACTTTCAGAGTACCAGTGAGCTTCTCTAGGAGTGACAGTCGAGATGCCCTGCAGCTGCAGATGACGACCCGGGATGAAGGTGTTCTTAGATTGTGGCTGTGCAGATAGGCTTCCAAAAATCAGCTCAATTGGTACTGAAAGTAATCCTGCAATAGTTTTCAGATTTTGGCCTCTCAAAAACAAACAAGCAAAAGGTCACATACAAAGATATAAAAAGGAGTCAGGCATCCCAGGTATGAACTTGGCCAGAAGAAACAGAACAGAGAAAGTTTTATTCCCACGGTAATTGTATCATCCCCTCCTTTCAAAAGACTTTTCAGGCCAGCCAATGTATCCCTCGCCCTGAGTACCTGTCTCTTACAGATGGGAAGAAGCAACAGCTGAATTACTTGGGTTATGACTGCTCACACAGCCTGCAGGCTCTGACAGTCTATCTGCTTAAGTTATGCAGCTCTGACCTTTCTTGCACTTCAAGGAAGGTGAGGACCTCTGCTGTCTCCCAAAATGTCTCGACATCACTACCACAGCAAGTTTTGTGCCAAGGCTTCTAACTAGTGGATGAACCGGAATCTTGTTTCACATTTTCTGAGTAAGTCTGGTTTTGGTTTCCTCTGACAAAGTAAATTTTGATTATTATTTTTTTCTTTTATGAACAACAGTGACAACAGAAGCCTCTCAAACTCAACTTTCCAGTAATTTCTGTATCATACCTACTGATACTCTGTAATGGCAGTCTTAGTTCATAAAATAATGAGTTTTTTAGATGTATGTGTGGGTTGAAAGTTCTTGAGACAGACTCCAGTTATGTTGGTTTGTCTCTCCTCTGGTGTTATCCACACCTTCTTTTCCCACACTGTATTAGATACAATTTTTAGCATTTGTGCCTCTTTACCCACTGTTACTTCCTCTAAAACATTTGCATCTTTCTGACATATGGCAACAGTGCCTTGGCATATGCTTTTCAAGGGGAGATGTCACCAGTTCTGCAACTACAGGTGGGATGCCATAAAAGCAGCATCCTCCCATAGTGGCACAATTTCCATGCTTGCAGCTGGTGCCTGGCATTGCGGATTACTGAACTGAAGTGACACCAAGGGAAGGATTGATCTTTACACCTTACAAACGATAAAAAGGGAAGAGATGTGGTTAGTTGACAGATTTCTGTTTTAAGCAGCATCCTCTCTTCCAGCTTCAGACTTGTTCACTGGTTTTACCATCATGGCTGCTTTCTTCATGAAAGGAAAGGCAAACCAGTCCCAAAACACTTCTTAAACACATTATTAGAGCTCACACTGACTATCAAGCTAAGAAGAAACCACTTCTCAACTCATCCAGAGGAACTGTAAATGTCTTTTTTGCAAACTCAGGGTAGCATGGTACCCTCAGGAATCAAACACAGTGTAGGCCTCTTAAACTCCCTCTAACTGCAAAGTCAAATTGAATTACGGGGATTTCCGGAAGGTAAGGCACATATGCACAAAGAGTAGGAGAGAGAGTAGGAGCTGCCATGCAATTAGATGACTGGCAGTATGAGCTTCTAGAATAATTTTAGGTTCAGATTCTACCTATGTCACTCAGACTATGAAACACATTTCTGATAAAGGTAAATGCATCACTCCCTTCTAATAATTCTGTAGGATGATGATTTTTAATTTTAACCTCTAGCTATTGAAAGGCGATAAGACTAAGAAACCCACAATACATTTTTAAAGTTAAAAAGTTCTAGAGAGTTCTAAAGTTCTTCAGAGCTAGAAACAATTTTTGGAATTTCCCTCAAAATTTAAGTACAGTGCCAGAATTTTTTTTATTTATTTATTTATTTTTTTTTTTTGTTTTTGTTTTTGTTTTTGTGCTCAAACCTGGCAGTGCTGTCAGACCTCCAGTTTAGGATTCAGACAGAACAGACAACATGAAGTTGTGCACAATGGACAAAGTGGTGCAGTAGCTGAATCAGAGCCAGGAATCTTCCCACTTCTGCCAATCCTACCACCCTGAGAATTCCCCCAGCCCAGAAATTCCCTGCTATTTACAGTATTTTACAGGTGTCTGTGACAGGAAATTTAGCTAATAATAGTGAAAGCAATTCTGTACTTAACTTGTGCATGAAATTTGGAAAGAGATTTTTTCACTCCAAAGCTGTTCCCAAAACAAGGCTGAAAAACAACCCAATTATATCATAAACCTGCACTGTCAGTCACACAAAAACAAGGGATGAGTCTAATTAAATCCTTTACATGCACTTTTTTCCCCCATGTCAAACTCAATCATTAATGCCGTAACAACCAGTCATTCTCTTCCAGCTGACAGTGAAGAAATGATTGTACTTGTGGAAGAAAAGAGACTACAGTGTAACTTAGAGGTCTGCAATCTACCAGGAGAAAGATTTCAAAGGAGAAAGATGGGGAATTATACCATTCAACCGGGTGATATAATGGGGCTTGTACTCAGTAAATGCTGTAAGGAATATGCCACGTAGACCAAAGAAACAGAGATGGTCTGAGTTCATATTTTAGGTTCTTTTCTCGATTTGGTAAGATAGTGTATTATTAAATAAATATATCAATATTTAAGTATACATTAAGATTGAAATCTATTTTAAAATTAGGTTTACTTTGTTTAATGATTACCAAAGATGACAAATCATAAAATATAAAACAATACACATTTTTTTTTAGGATTTTCATATAACTTTAAACCTTAAAATTTTCATTTTACATTCACACTAACCCAAGCCTACAATTCATTCAACGTATGTTTTACTGTAGAGTGCTTTAGGAAGAGCAATTTCTTGCCACAGCTCAGGTTCCCAGTCAACTGTAGACATCTTTAAAATATAACTCTTCAGTAAAGACAGGATCCTGGCAAGCTAAGTATTCATATTTGCAGCTGTCACTGCTTTCACAATCACTTCTTCACTTGCAATCTTAGACTGCTAAATCCTTCCCAGATATGCAATCCAGAATACTACAAAAATGACTGGTTTAAATGCTATTTTCTCCACATCCCATTTGGATACAATTAAGTAACTTTAAAATTCACTGAAGATTTATTTTTTTATTTTTTTAGCATGCCTTTCTACAAGCAGTTTTTTTGCGAATCCCTAGCTGATACACTACTATCATTACACTACTAACTGGGGTGATCATAATTTATGAGAAAATGCAACTCTATTATGATGAAAACAAAGATAAACTCCGTTACTCTGTGTTGCCGAATTTAATGACATGGTTATTGTGTACATGTAAGGTGTGTTTACCTGTACTTCCTTCCACAATACAACCCATCAAAGTTTTGACAAGGAAGTGCTTTGCAAATTGCTCTTACGTGGACTTCTTTTAAATCAAATTACCTGAAATTGTTATATGTTCTGTAATGTGGAAAAATACTCTTGCCAAAATCCAAGCAAGTGTTGATCTTAGCAGTTTATCCAAACCTATGTTTAGCAGGACTGTCTTTACCCAAAAAGCTTGAGAATATTTTAATTATTAATGCTCTTCAGAACATTTTGGATGATAATCTAGAGACTTGGGGGCTAAAAGCTTACATGGAATGGTCTCTGTGCTACTACATCTATCACATATACTGGAGAATGCCTTGCTTGAAACTCCACTTTTAAATCCCATTCCACAAAATAAGCAGCAGTGACTTTGATGTGGAAAGAGATGATATCACAGTTAGAAATGGTAGCAGTCAAGAAATACTACTTCATAGATGTGTAACAGAGGTTTCCTAAGTACTCTTCACTGAGGCATGTTTTGTAACTGGCTATAAATTTTATTTATCAAATGTGAGATAGCAGATACTGTTTACTGAACATTTAAAACAAGGCATGTGACTCCCCAGAAAAGCAGGAAACAGCTTTCTCATACCACAGGTATTTTTGAGATTTCTATAGTTGTGCATTATGGCAAATGTGTTTTTTGTTTGTTTGTTTTGGGAGCAGAGGGAATATGATTGTTTGATTTTTGTAATGAAAACTAGAGGTCTCCTCTCATTCTTTGCTTTAAAAATCATTGTATTTTTCAAACGTTTTCAAAACTAACGAACAAAACCCGATTCCCAGGGGATCTGTATCTCATGGCTGAAGGAATCTTAAGCTGAATTATTCTTAGGCTGCAGCATGAGTTCATCCCTTATGACACTAGGCACTGTATCCAGAGAGAAATATCATTAGTGGCTATTTAGATAGCTAATAAGGGCATCATTTTACACTTTTAGGAACAACAAAGCATAAGCCAGCACATACATAAATCTCTTAATTCATATACAACATTTAAAATGCTTATATATTGCCAGCATTTGTTAACAGGGTGTGATAAACGAGTTCAGAAAAATTCAGCAGTGAGAAGAATGGGTTGTTGAAAAGTGTTCATCTCTTCCTCCTAATTAAATGACATCCTTGCAAGCTTGAGCTGATGTTGAGTCTGGCTACAGGTTTATGAAAGTAATAATCAGTCCATAAATTAAAACAGTAAAGGTGTGGAAATAGTACCAAATAAATTCTTATCATTTTTAAGTGACAGGTCAATAGCCTGTTTGGTGGGGAAAAAAAAAAAAAAGTTTGTATTTTTCTATTAATGTACACCAAGATCTCTAAATGGCATGTAAATGGATGTCAAATATGTTTTGCCTTATTTGACAAAGACACATATTATACCTAGGAATCATATGAAATTATGAAGTCAGATTTTCCAACAAGAAATAAATATACAGGCAATTTATCAGTCCCCACAGGAAATTAGTCACAATATTACTTGTATTTTTCTTATGTATTGTTAATAATCATGCATATTAAAACATTTATGTTATAATTCATGAGATTTAGACACTAAAGAAATTCTGAAAATGGATATACAATTTTAGAAGCTCATAAATATACATGACAAAATCCCCATAAATAGCAACATATCTATCCAGCTAAGAAATGTGCTACTTTAGTGTTTTTATAATCATGCACTAAAATGAGATGAGGTATCTACCAGTAGTTGTTGGGAAATTGGATATATACACACATACCCTTGAATGTCAGAAATGATGGCCAATGGCCAACTAGTGGCACTGGATTGAAAGCCTCTTAAAATCAGTGGAATGAGCCAAACTTCAAAATGCTCAGATTAATTCTTCTGTGATGTTCTAAAAAAGAAAAAAAAAAAATATAATAATAATAATAATGAGAAAAAGCAGGTATTGGAGTGTTACTATGAAGAGCCACTCAAACTACAAGGTTGGGTTGACTTTGAATTTCTGTCATAGAACTCACCTCATGTATATAGCAGCTGTGTATAAACAGGCTTGAACATACTGAAGTCTTCTTTGTAATTTAAGGCAGTTCTTCCCAATATAAATGAAGAAAGGTTAGCAAAGATATTAGAGATTTCATAAGAAAATCATGTGTTCCTTCATCCCCAAATGCAGTTCTGGTGGATTTCTTTAATGAGGCTTTTTAGCATCTTAAATGTTATCAGTTTAAGAAGTGATTTCACAATGAAATGGGATGTTTATTTTTTTTCCTAAAAAAAAAAAAAAAAGGTTATGCAGAATTTCCAAAACACTATTTCCCTGAAGAAAAATATGCTGCAGAAAATTTCTCTAAAGCTCAACTAGAGCTTTATAAATACTATTTAGTAAGCTTTTAGGTTTTGCTCTAAAATGTGATATTTTCATTAGATCAGAAACAAAAATTACCTGAAAATTACATATTCTCCACCTATGCATTATTTTTGCCTTATTTATATATGTCATGTTAAGACTAATTGAAGGTGTCTGTCAAAAAGAAGTAGAGTTCTGTGTCCAGCTGTTTCAGTCAACACAGTCAGGAGCAAGCCTGTGCTACCTGGGTGACCTGCTTTCTGTCTGCGGCCTCAGTTACTTTAGCCATCATCAGAATAACAGAACATGCACAGTGAGTTCACTGAACTGGGAGGTACCCATGAGTAAACCTTCATATACAGTGCTCTAGATACCAGCTCCTTTTATTTTTCCTTATAAGAATAAAACAGACACTTATTAATGTCTTTTTAAATTAAACAAGAACATACTAACAATTTTATCACTTTCTTTTCCTCGTTTATGCATGTATTCACATATGTCACACACACACACAAAAAAAGTAATTTATCAGTCATGCAACAATGGAAACTTCATCATCAGTGGAATCTCAACAGAAAATAGCTTTCTTCTTCTTCTTTCTGTTTCAATGGGTTTTGAAAGTGCAAATTCTCTTACTGTGTTGCCCTGCTAGCACATATCCTTTTGCTTTTCTATGCCTTTTATATAAGATACACTCCTGTTCAGTGCAGAGGTCTGTTCACAGTACACAACGAATGCTTATGAGTGCAAAAGTCAGCAATATGACCCTATGGCACATTGTATAAACCGAACCAAGCAGGCACACAGTTGAAAAACAGTAGGAGGCAGCAATGCAACCTTAGCAGTCCCTACTCATGCTACTCTAATTTCTAGTTCTTGTGTGAGGTTTATTGCTCCTAAATTCTATCTTTGTTGATTTCTGTTTGTAGGGTGGTACAGGTTTATTGCCTGGCATATCTCTGACACCACTCACAGCAACAGCTCTATGCAGACAGAAGGGTTTTTTTTCAGGGAAGACAGAAGCCTCTTCAAAGTAATGACTTTGAATCCTTGGTTCTAGTGAAATCCCAATTAGGAGTGCACTGATCTCCTTACTACAGCTAGGACTTCAACCAACCACCATGAGTCACTGTAAAATTCTGTACTTGGTAGACAAGTAATTTAATCAATAAATCCTCTAGAGATTTTTGCTGTTGTTTTGTGTTAGTTTAAGTTAATATGCACAACAACATTGCTGATCAGGGGGTCCTGCAACTCCTACGTTATCTGTACATTTCTGCTCTTAGAGAACTGGTTCAAGCATGCATGTAGCTAAATGATAAACCAGTCTGAGGAAATGATCCATCTGAAAAGTGACTCAGAAAAATGGCAACAACAACAACAAAACTATCAAAGGTTACAATGAGGAGGATGCCTACTTCTGCCAGTAGAGGTAAGGAATTAGGCTGGAGAGGGAAATAAGTGGTGCCACATCACAGCTTCAGCAGATTGGACGATCACAGTGCTGTTCCTTACCTTATACCATTTCTTCCACATTTTACTTCATGATCTAACAGGTGCCTCTTCCAGAGTTTCTATCTGTAGATATGACAATTAAGGACAATTAAGAAAATGTGTAAGAAAATAATCAAACTGTGAGCTTGTATTTCACAACAATTCACTGTTCTTAGAGCTGTACATTCTTTAGAATCTCTTCTTGATGAGATACAATGTTAGAACACACAGCAAAATAAAGAAAAGATTCATTTTCTTGCAAAAATGCTCAAGCTAAAACGAGGACCTTATAAAAGTCTTAGAAAAATCCTGCAAAGCACTGAAAAATGTTCTGAGCAATCTGATTCTAAGGTCATGCACCCAGCATGCTAGAAGACTTTGGTTCAGTCTCTCTTCTAAATTAGGCAACACAGAAAGCTGGACCTGCACTTTCTACAAGCTAGGTAACTGCCCTAAACATTGTTCTCCCAGCTGCCTGGGGAAAGGATGGGCCTTGCTGTTTCGTGCATTGTTCTCCACTAGAAAACTTTTGGTGAAACTCGTACATCACCACAAGAGCTTTTCAGTTTAAATGAATCTTTGCTTTCTGATGAATCTTTTCTTTTCTTGCCACTAAGTCAGGAAGATAAAAAGAGATACCACCGTGTTCTGAAAAACATGAGATGTTTATTGTTCAGGCTTGACAAAGTCTGGCTTGGATGGAAGGTGGAAAAAAATGAACAACTGAAGTGTTTTCACATTTCACAAGGAAAAAGGAGTTTATTCCCCAAACCAGCCGCATCCTCTGCTCTATTTTGGTGGACCCAAGAAAAAATAATAATAAAGGAAATGGAGGGGACAGGTGAGAACTGTTCTTATTCTGGCTTTGAAGCAGAGATAGGAAGCTTAAGAGGGACTTGCAAGATGCAGTGTTTCTACCCATACTACTACACATGGATCATCTTAGTGACGAAACATGGCCTGTATGAGAGAAAATAACATAGCTTCAGACGGCCAGGGCTTGTGCAAGAAAATGGAAGAAGTATGTAGAGAAAAAAAGGTGGATGAAACTCAAGGCTGGTAACAGAGGTTCCATCACAGCCATTCCATATATCCCTCATAGGAGTCACAGGCAGTGAGCTTGCATGGGGAAGACTGACAGTATTGCACTAAGGCCTTGGATGATTTGAGGCTTGCCATGTTTGATGGCTGGTAACCCTTTTGACTAATGCCTCCTCCAACAGTGTTTGATGAGACTCTTGGGAGGGCTATCTTCTCTAGGTCCTGGGTTCTTGTAAGTCCATGGTGTGATCTACCTCATGGGTGCTTCTCCTGAATGGTCAAATCAAGGATAACATCACATTTGCCATTCTGAGGAAATGTTTAATGGTTCCCTGAGGCTCTCAGATTACCTATCTTGAAGGCTAAAATGTATCTGCAGTCTGACAGTTATTACTGAAGGAGTAACAGACAGCGAGGGATCATACAGTTGAATTTTGGAGGAGTATAGAAAAAAAAACAAAAAACACACAAAAAAACAAGAATAACACAAGCAGAAGTGGTAGCAGGAACTGTTACTATGTGGCACTTAGAAATGACCCTTCATATCAACAGTCTGACTAATGCATGACTCAAATTAAAAATAATTGTTTGGATAAAAACAAGTTGCATGGAACTTCAGTAACACATATACAATTTTTTCTGTACAAACTAGAAGCCATTTATTTCATTAAACCTTATAAATTATTGACCTTTGACCAAAAAGTGGACATAATATATTACCCAGTGGTATACTTCAACCACTATTTTATAGCTGTGACCAAATTTAGATCTTGCTTATAGATTTGCTCTTCTACTAACATATCTTAATATTACAATCAATTCCTCAGAAAAGGCAGTTCAGAGACTTCTGCAAACACCAAGCTGAATTAAATCTTAGTAGTTCTAACCTCAGAGCTTAATTGATTACAGTGAAGATTAAAGCAGACATATTTCAACTCCAAGATTTATTGGTTACTATACCAGAGATAGGTTTCTATCACACTAGGGTCAATAAAGACTTCATACGCTTGCAAATAGCAAGGAAATACAATATAATTGTATTCAGAGTTAGAGGAATATCAACAAGAAAGAACTGTGAATATGTGTAGCTAGCAGAAAAGGTGTTACAGGTTTAAGAATTGAAAAATGAATTGAAAGCACTACAGAAAAATGATTCTAGATCTATAAATTGCTTCTGATTTAGAGCAAGCATGATGCACACAAATGGGTGAGATATAACCCAGTTCTCATAACAGAACTTAAATTACTTTGTTGTTGAGTTACTGATTAAAATACCATTCCATTGAAATATTAAACAATATAATAACTTGGTACATTATAAATAATAAGGATGACTTTTAGAAACCAGAGAAATATTTAGAGGCTTTATGCTACCTGACCCTTACCGCAATGCATTAGCAACCAAGAAGTAACCTTAATCAGCTCAGCAAATGCTTTCAGGAAAAGCCTGCCTGAAAGGAGTTTTGCAGAAGCAGATGATTAAGTTATTTCTTTGCCAGTCTTTCAGTGGCTAACAGTGGCTTCATCTGCTTCTTGGACCTTTGCAGAAAGTGAATGTTTGAGAAACATTTCTATATACAATTTGAGAATTATCTGTGTTTTGAATATATCAGTATTCACATACAATAAATGCTGCCAACAGGGCTACATTGGCCATTTCCCAATGAGGATATCCCCTACAGAAGATAAAAAATACTTAAGTGCCCATCTGGTTGAAAACAAACTGGGATAACAAGCTGGATGAAATTTAAGGATGTCACATTGTCTGAAATCACACAAGAATAAAATATATGAAAAAAAAAAAAAAGCTATAGAAATGAGTATTTTAAAGTAAATGCAGGACTGATACAAGACTGATACAATTGCAGTAAAAAGACCCCAGGAGAAAATGGTTCCCAAAGAAAGCAGCCACAGCTAGTCCCTAATAGTGAAGAACAGTCACATCCAGGACAGGAACATTCTGTCCAAAGAATATCTAATGATGAGAGAACTGGCTCAGAAAGTTGTACGCAAGTCTGTTTATAGTGTTTCACCCATCTTCCTATTTTTCTTGAATTAATTAACATAAAGAACAGTCTTTTATTTTTATTTTTTTTTATTTTTAAAATTTTTATTTTATTTTATTTTTAGCCAAATACAGTGTGACAAACCTGTCAGGTCTCACAGAAAGTAATGAGATTAGGAGCAACTACTATGTAGACTTCTCTGAGATCATCACTGGCAGCTATTTTTACCTTTGTCAGAGATTTAAATTCCAATGCATGATATTTAATTTAAAATTCTTAAAACTCATACATCTTTTTTTCCTGTGTTTTTGTTTGGTTTAGAGACTTGCTTTAAGCATATGAAACCTCCTTTTACTGTTGTGCTGTTAAAAACTGTTCTTTCATAGCTATTGCCTACCTGTAGTGCGAAAACAAAGGTTAGCAACACTGATTACAGTTTTTATAGTCACAGGATTCCAATAATAAAAAACGACAGTCCCTGTCCAAAGACATTATAAATTGAGTGAATGATTACAATCTAAATATAAACCAGGGCATCCATGATAATTGCTAATGTTTTCTAAATTAGATTCACACAAGCATATACTTTGTAGGTAGTGTTGAACTCTCTCATAGGAGTGCATCCACCAGAAAACAGAACAGCTCAGAAGATGTGAATGATTCACATGCATCATCAGGAACAACAACAAGATCCCAATGCATTTAGTCATATTTCACTGCCTCCTACATAATTAATTTAATTTATTTGCTATACTCTCAATCCACTTCTCTATTAGTTCCAAAAGAACTGAGGCTTGAAAGTCATTGTTGTATGCTATCTAGTGGTAGATCTAGGTTCCAATGGATAAAGGAATACGTCATGACAGTAAAATATGCAGAGACATGATGTGGTGGGAATTGTTTCAGCTAGCTGTGACCACCCACCTTTTTGCACCAGTTACTCTGGCTCCTTCTTTAGTCAATGAGTCTCTCTGAGGAGAGGAAGAAATGCCCTCTGGCATTGATTGTGTGTTGGTTTTGGATCCTTTAAGTCCCTCTAATTCCCTTTGGCTGAGCATGCTGAATGAAAGGCACACTAGGCACAGAGCCTCTAGTAAAATTTAGGACATTGTAGTCTGGGTCCAAAGGCTTTCATTTACTAGAATCAACCTTATAGACCAGAAATAGTTTTGGAATGGAACGCAAGCAAATTTCATTTTATTTTAGTAATTTTAGTTGCTAATAATACCACAAGTTCAGTTCATTATCAAATATTGCAGTGGGACAACCAAGACTGGGCGTTTGTCAATCTGAATGTGTTATTGCCAAACGAATAACAACACGCCCAGTGCCTGATTTATTTTTCTAGTAATAAACTACATTAAATTACTTCGCCATGCACCTTGACTTTCAAAGCTGTTACAAACTGCATGGTGGCACAGAAAATATGCTTATTTAAATCACAAGTGACACTAAGCAGGGAGGGGCTGCAAGCATATTGGAGGACAGGTTAACAATTCAAAATGATTTTGACGCATTGAGAAAATACTCCATGAAAAAAAAATAAGATGCCATTCAAAAAAGACAGGCGTTTGACCCTTGGGCAGGAAAACCAAACTACGAACATACTGGATAAGGAGCAATTCACTAGACAACAGTCACACTGAAAGGAACCTATGAACTGTAATGTTTCAAAGACTGAAACAATAATTCCAAGCTACTAAAAATAAAAAAATAAAAAAATGATAAGGTTAAAAGGAGATGCCTAAATCAGAATATTTTCTATTGGATATGGGACAAAGTCCTCCCACTTCACAGGCTGAGACCACAGTATCAGCTGTTGTTCATTTTGAGAACTATACTTAGGAAAGGTAAGGATAATGGTATGTAATGGTATGAAGTGTAATTGTCTTATTCCTCAGTATGTATATTTCTTTTAATTCAAAAATGTCCAGATTTTTTTTTCTACAAAATTTCATTGCTAACTATATTTCTGAATATTAGAAAAAATTCACCTTCTGAATTATTGTTTCATATTTAATACAAAAGTGGCCAAAAATTAATCTTCTGTCACAACATCCTGGAATTTATTATTGTTTTTAATCAAACTTGAAATAACTGTTACTGCTATATCCATTCTATGCATAAAATAACATTAAAAATGCATGTGAAAATAGTGGAATACTTCATTCCAATTACTGACCTGAAAGGAAATTTTTAATTTCATCCAGACATTAGCTGAGCTGGCCTATCTGAGTCACTTTGTTGTCCAGAGGGAACCACAAAACCATGTCCCTCTTTGGCCAGCTTTCAGTTCCCATTACTTATTGTTGGCTCAAACAGACAAAAGCTAAGGTCGATCAGAAATAAATTATTTCCTGACAGTGAATTTTACTGACATAGATTTTTCTTTTGCAGAAACTCTGAAGTTAGAAGAAAACCAGTTTAGTGCTGAGAAAGCATATGAAATGAAACCACAGATCTTCGGATTTTTCTCTTCGAGGAAAAAAAAAATCTTCCATCATGACTAATGTTACTTATCATCTTCCAGAGCTAGAGGTCTATCTTTAAATCCTTATGCACGCAGACTCGCCCACATGAAGCTTAGATAAACCAACAATGCTAGAGAATCTTTTTTTTTTTTTTTTTTCTTTTTTCTCTCTTTTTTTTTTTTTTTTTTTTTTTTTCTTCAAAAAGATCCTATTCTGTATCATCTCTTCATCACCCTGCTGACTCATTAAAACAGAAAAGGTCACGCTATGAATTTGGTTTGAATGTAACAACAGCTTTTGGGGACTTCCAATTCTTTTCCAGTAAGATTCAGATTTTGCAGCTTGAGTGTGAAGGAGAGCTCTACCACTGACTTTCAAAGGTACATTTGCAGATCAGCTTATTATAATTTGCACTGCATTATTAATGCTGAGATGACTGATTAATTCAAAACGTGTGTGCTGGTTCTATCAGAGCATACTGTGCTCTACAGAGCAAATGAAATCGGAGCAGATTGAGAGGGGCAGAACTTGAACAACTTCTTTGCTGACCCCTGCAGGCACAAGCTGATTCTGTCAATTTTTACTTTTGACTACATCTGTTTTGTACACTTTTTGCACAACACAGAGCTCAGGAGGAAATTAAATATGGCCTAAATCTACATTTTAATACAATTCTAATGCACTGCACTATTCCTAGTAATAATCTCCCCCCCACAGAAAGAACTGATGCATGTTATCAAGCATGAATATATTTAATGATTTGAAATGAAATGAGTTCATTAAAATATTCGTTCACCTCAAAATAGTATTAAGCCAGAGGAACAGAGAGGAAATCATTTTGCCAGGTTTTTCAAACAGAATAATAGAAATTTAGGCATCTGATGTAAATTCTGATATTCACATTTCACTTTTCAAAATTTAAAGAAATGTTTATTTTTCTTTACATTTTGATGAATCCACCCTTTTAGGGTGTATCTGTATCATTTGTACTTACCATAATGAAGATTTATGTTTCCCAAACTTTATGCTGGCTGGGCTTCTTCCCTGGCATCCTCTTCCTGCACTGTTTGCCACTTCTTCCAGCCCTTCTGGGCTGCCTCTCTCCCTCCAACTCTAGAGCCACCCCACTTATTTGCTTCTTTAAATTCATGCCCCTATTTCTGCAGGGAGCAGAGACAATAGTGCTTAATTTTTCTTAGGTATAGTAATAGGCAGACATTTGCTTTTGTCTCCATATTGATATATCCAGATATATTTTCCAGATATATCTTCCAAGACTCCTACTGTTCCTTTCTCTACCTTCACATTGCATTTCCTTCCTACTCCTCCTGGCAAATGTGTTTAACTCTGGTTCAGCTCATCACACCTGCGTCTCACCTTACCTTGGGACAGCGCACCCGGCCAAGCCCACTGCTGGACTGCTGAGCCCACTCTGTCCCAGTGCACTCTGCACAGTTACCACTACTTAACACCCCCTCCCTAGCAAGCAGCTACATCCACTGGGGAGAGCTAAGTAATCATCATCCTTCGATGATATTACTGTGAGGCCATCATCCTCTGCTGCATCTATTTTATGCAAATTGCAAGTAGATGGATCAAAGTAAACAACTGAACATTTGACAACTTTTTTTGAGTTGTAAAAGATCAAGAGAGCTTTTTAATGGAAACTCCTACCCATAATTTAGAGTGGCAGCTAAAAACCAACCAACAAAACCAACAAAAAGTACCTGACGTATTCAGCGTGTTTTGGAAACCAGATATACAGTTTTACCAGAGGGAAGAACCAGTGTGAATTTCTAATGATATACATTTCCTCTGGGAAAATACATAAAGCAATGTTATTTTTACAACAGGAGGTATGAAATCTTAGAGAATGAAAAAAACTTTTTTTTTTTGTTACTGTAAGAATCTATATGTTGAAACTGTTTACATCATGAAACTTGGTACCTTTCTGAAGCAGATGAGTAATAACAGACAAGTGACTGTGATTCCTTTCTCCTTAAGTGATCACAGAACATTTCTTCAATGTACACAGACCTCTGAGAAGTTGGATTTGAAGAGCATTAGTGCCATACAAACAAGAACACATTATTAAGACAAGTGTGCATGACATAAATGGGCAATGGCCTCATTAGCTTCTTGAAACTTGGACTGTTATTTCTCAGACACTTACTCTTTCAATATAAATCACAATTCATGATAAATCACAACACAAGATAACAAGAGTTTAGTATAATTATTGGTACTATCTGTACGTCAGCAAAGTCTGGGTTGCTACTCCATATGAACTAAATTCATTGGGGAAAAAAGTCCATGTAACTATCTAAACACAGTAAGTCACTGAAGAACAAATGTTATCTTGAAGTACAACTGAAATAGATGGATAAAAATACTAGCCATTGGACAAAAATATTGTAGCTTTAAGTAATTTTAGAATCAGTTTTTCCTGTAGCAACAAAAGAAGATTAAAATATTTTTTAAAAATTAAGCTGTGATTACATCTTAGAAAAATGAAGTTTTCGTGATTCCGCAGGTATACCTCCATGTGGGTATACCCATATATATATATATCTGTGAGGAGGACCAGTCAGATCTCAGCTTTCAGTTGGCATTTTTTACCTGATTATTCTACTTCCTTCCTTTGACATTGCATTGGACTAGACACCAAATTCAAGGCAAATATAAAATTACAGCAAAAGAAAACTTCAGTTACTATATTTGGATCCATCCTCACATGAATAAAAATGAAAATTCACTGCTCACAAATCAATCAGTGCCTGAGTCTCTTTGACTGAAGGCAAGATTTCTTGATGTAAGCAAACAAAGGTGAATAAATTTATGGGCTACCTGTAAATCCAAAAGGTATTCATACTGAATTAAAGCTATGAAAAGGAAAATTACTTCTGAAACTCAGGAAATATTTTAATGTGTTCTGTTAAACAAGGACAAGCACACCCATGAAAGCAGTGTTTAGTTACAGTTTTTTAACTGGGTGGGCAAACTAATTCTAAGCATCCTTTAGTGCTTAATTTTGCCTTGGCTATAATACAGGAATGGTATTTTGCTTCCCATTGTTTCTATAATTCTAAGATGAACTTAAAAATTACTCAACTTTCACCACTCCTGTCTCAATTAGCACTTTTCTATCATGCAACTTACAGCTTATTTTTTAACATCAGATACTAAAACTGAATATATCACATACTACATTCTCATTCCTTGGTGTTTCATGTGAGTTTTTCTTTGTCAAATCTGTCTTTTTGTCAAGTCCTTTTTACAGAAAATACCTGCTCCGAGTTTTCCAATGTGAAACAACTTGTAGGCATGCAATAGACAGCAGGAAGATGCGCACACAGCTGAAAGTACCTTTTAGAACCATTAGATACCTAATGGCATCCTTATGAGCTTAAAACCAGAAAAACAGAACTCAAATGTCTTCTCCAAACTTTATAGTGGCATCTAAAAAAGTGTAATTTCCTTCTTCAGAAATGTGTTTATTTTTCCAAGCAGTATTGCACTTTCCAGATCTATTAGCTACTGGACATGGAAAAATAAATAAATATATAAATTTAAAATAAGGTGAACACTGTAAATTTTCACTAAGTAATTACTTTTGTACATCCTCCTTCCCTGTCGTTACTGCCACGGGTCTTAGTCCTGGTCTATGGCAACAAACTGAAAACATCCACTTAAAGGACCATGGCTTGATCTACAAGGACAAATCAACAGATAAATGCTTTCAGAAATTCAGTTTATTGTGTTCTCTGGGAATATTTCTATTGTCATTTCTATTGTCTTATCTTTTTATATGTGCATTTCTCTAATTGTTCAATTTTAACATCCTCTCTAAGTGTATCAGTCATTATTGTATAGCTCTTCACCTTATGAAAAAAGAACAAGTTCCCAGTCAAGTAGACTCTTACAAAAACAGACAAAAGAAGAAAAAAAAAAAAAAAAAAAGGAAAATTACAAGATAGTAAGACAATGCCAGATAAAATAACACAGTTCTGTGAGAACAAACTATATATAGTCTTTGTCCTTGTAAATAGCTGCAATCTCCTTAGGATATTTCCCTTTGTGCCTATTCACTCATACAGATGTAACAAAACAAACATTTTATTTTATTAAACATTTTATTATTATTATTATTATTATTATTTAAATCTAACTCCGTATTTAAAGAAGTTGGGAAAAGAGGTGGAGAGAATAACTTATCACATCACTGTTTGTTTTCCTGCAGGGCAGGTAAAGAACAAACTGTTTTTCTGTAGATTACAGTCACCAAAAGTTATGTATGTCAGAAGTAGTAAATACATTGAGGTTCCCTGTCTATATTTACATCAAAATTACTAGTTATCTCAGACTATTTTTCATTATTTCTGATATTGCTATTTCAGTATGTTGTTCTTCTGTTCACTAATTAGAACACTATTAGAATTTGACTGCTTTTATTATTACTATTATTTTTTTAAATAACTAAAATCTCATTGACTTTGATGAAAGCAGGAGTAAGTCAATAATGAGGGATTCAGAAAATCCTCATGTCTATCTCAAGAGCTATTCATTACTGGACAGAACTGGTGCAATTTGGTGTCATGTTCTGACTAAATTTAGAATTATGCACGACAAATGAGAAAAGGGAAAAAAATAATGACTTCATGAATTTACAGAATATTAAAGAATTAAATACCCTTGAAAAACAACATCCCAGTGCTGTAAATCTCCATCCCACAAAAGTTAAAAAGGAAATTAATGAGAACAATATGCAACTACTCAGGCAAGTGTACCCAAAACAGGAGTATTCATGCATATATATCTGAGTAAATCCTCAAACTGAAGACTTTCTCTTATAAACACACCTAGAAAGTGTTGTTGTGAACAAAATTTCAGTTCAGGAAAGCAGTGGATCAATCATACTGTGCCAATCAGAATGGTGATCTTTGACAAAAATATAGGAAGTTCAGAAACCATCAAAGTTTACAATTCAATTTAAGTATGTAGGTATTATTAAATGATTTCATGAAAAATGTTTTAATTGTCCCAGTAAGTTCTGATGGTTTAATTAAAGCTTAGATTGAGAATAGTAATATATCTCAATACTTAGTTTCAACAAGTTGGAGATAGTGATGCACCAAGTGAAATGCTTCTCTAGGCCTTGTCAATAACTTTAGGACACTGGATGTGTTAAATCAGGCAGGCTAGAGGAGATGATGGAAGAGGTGTTACAAGCACTTGTTCACTGACTAAAGCAGCTTTTCTGGCTTTAAACAACCTGATCCAATATACAGAAAACTTTCCTACTGTGACTGAACCAGAATTTTAAACCTACCCTCAAGCATTCAGAATCAGAGGTAACATAAAAAATGCTTTTACCGTAACTGAGGAAAAGAGCATCAAAACTTCAGACCTCTGCCAAAGAAAGCAAACAAATGGAACTCCCAGATCAGAATTATACTCGATGAAATCTCACATTAATGCTTAATCTGTTAAGGCATAGGGTATCTTTTAGGCAAGTAAGCTATTTTTTTTCTGAACTGCAATTTCCCCATGTATAAAATGGGATAGCAATGTTTGCTTACTTGCAGTGGTTGTGGGAATTTGAACCCTGCACAGATCCATGTTTTTCAGATACTAACAAACATCTATTTGCATGACAGTGGATGGGGAAGGTATCATTAATCATGAAGAAAAATAATCATAAAGAAGAGATCAACAAGTTCTCTGAATTGTTCTGATAAAGGTTATTAATGATAAAAGCCAATATGGGACTTCAGTCTTCTTACACTTCATTTGGCTTTGGGTGTCTTGCTGACCTGCCTAAACAAGAGGCATCATCACCCTCATCTCCATCTGTATATAGCCTTTTGGGAGGGAGCAATGCTCCAGATTGCATTCGGGGTCCTGCTTGGCATGAATCACCCTCTGCAGATGCTTCTGATCTGCACACACAGCCTAACAACAGCACTTCAGGTGCTTCAGTTGGAAACTACGTTAGGTAGGAAGAATTCAGGCAATAAATCCAGAATTTATGGTAGTTATCCCAATGTAAGGACCAATTTTGTAATCTCCAAAACATTCGCTTCATTCCTAGTAGTACTGATACTTGTTTTGCTGTACAGATGTATGTTCTCGCACTAACATTGCATTACAACCATACACGTTGTGTGTGACAAATCATGCATTGAAAACTCCAGCTTAAGGATGGTTTTTACCCCAGTTTTATCCATGCTGCATATATATCTCCTAAAGCACGTATATTTGTTCAGATCCATTGTGCAACAAACCTAGGCATATAACATGGATAGTTTTAGTCTGTTTAATAATTTAAAGTAAAGCATGTTTTGAGGACTTGTACAATTGCCTTAACACTACTGTGCTAGGATATGTGTAACAAAGGTTAGAATTTTCTTTATTATCCAGAATGACCCTAAGCATGGGCCATTAGAGAAACTCTTATGTCAGGTTAACAGTGTTTTCCTGCAAAAGCCAATTACTTCAGGCTACAGTTATAACCTATTTAACAGTAATAAGTCAGGGTTACAAGCATTTCCATCTCTTTGTAATTATACTTTAGGAAATGGGTGAGAAGAAATACAAGAAGTGTCACTGATGATATAAAACACCAGAAAGAAAAACATAGATGTAGCTGGTCTAATAGGCATATCATTGGTTGCTAAAAGGAGGATGCCTTTACTATTATAAAACCTTCTTCTGAAGACAGAGATGGAAGGAATAAAAATATTTCAATGGACATTTTAGAAAAACTACTAAAAATAGCTTTCAATTGTTTTCCCCATCTTCAAGCACTTGTTTTGTTCTTCACTGACCTCTCCAGTTTCTTGTTTTTTATTACCTGGCTATTCCAAAAAGAAAGACTTCCTTTTTCTAAACTTGTTAAAAGAAAATAAATTTTGTTTCATCAACTTGTTCCCTTCTTTCCAAAAAGTACATTGGTATAGAGGAGATCACATATTTGCCATACAGTAGAGGCCAGTTAAATCCACTGACCCATTGATTTTTCAGCTATTAGGTAACTATAAAACCTCTGGGTTCTTAGCAACACACAGAAGGAGAAAAGAGTTCTAATCACAGTTTCCTCCAGTGAGATGTCATACTTGGAAACAGATGTGATTTGAAGGAATACTGGAAGGAAAAAAGAAAAAATGACACTTCAATCTTTTCTCTTCCTTTCTACTATTGTTCAGGTAATCAGGTAATCACAACATTCCCCAAGGGCAGTTCATCAGCTCTCCCAACTTCTACAGGTTCCTGCAACAGCTTTAAAAAAGAGGCAACCTTTTTTTTTTTTTTTTTTTTTTTTTTTTTTCGAGAGAGAGAGAGAGAGAGAGAGCAAAAGAGAGGAAAGTTTATGAAGCTACAAAATGTACGAAATGGCAGGAGAACCAAAAGCAGTTGTAGCATTTGAAACTATTTTTACCTTTCTTAACTGACCAGAGGTCAAGTTGCCCTTGGGCCACCAACTTGGACTCACTTAAAGTTTTCTTAAGGCAATTACTATTTCCTTTCTATATCAATAGTGCTGATGCAATACATATGTGAGTTCCCTTACATAGCACTGCACCTGTGTGTGATTAGTACCTTTGATTAGTACTCTAATCTAAAATTCCTAAATAATAAAATCTTGGCCTCACCAATATTATTAGATTTGCCACCAATTTTTGAGTCCAGAATTGTTGCAATAATACATAATATAGGATTTATGGTGTTTTAAAGATACCTGCAAGCCAATGATTTCCATAATGACAGTATGAGCAAAGTTGTAAATATAGCATATATTTAAATAGTACTCGCACAGTTTCTGACTCCATAAGCATTTTAGCAGACAGAAGAAGAATCAGGCTATTTTTTTTAGTTTACCATATATGATTAATTGTGCTCTGAATATATGATGATTATTCATCATAACTTTATCACTCCTTTCACAACTAACTGATTTAATTACATATTCTGTTTTTATCCTTTATTTCTTTTTTTTCTTACTTTTAAATTAAATATATATGTATATTTTAAACCCATTAATCTAAAATCATCACACAGCTATTAATTATTTATTTAACAGGATTAATTTAAATAGTATGTAATATCCCAGAATGCAGATTAGATGATGCAAATATCTCTGTGTTTCTTACATCCTACAAAATACACAACAGCTACTTTACATCAAAACAGGCTTCCCTGCACTGTAATTCAAATTACTTTGCACATAGCATCCATGCATGATGATATAGTAGAATAGAATTAGAATTTATGAAGTTAATCACAAGGAAGCCATTTAGAGTTTATCATTTACCACTATAACAATTTTTTTTTTCCTTTTTTCCCCCTGAGAGCTGTCAGCATGACTTTTTTTTTTTTTTTTTTTTTTTACCTTTTTGCCTTAAGCTGCATGAAAAAGGAAATATATTTATTGTCTATTAGTTAAGGATCTGCTACCTTCAAATTTACCTTGTTTTGCTTTATCACTTTAGATATATTTTTGGGTGTCCAAACCATAGATTTATTTTATACCATCATGAAGGCAACTTCTGGTCTTACTACTCAATTTTTCCCTTACCTGTATGCTCAATTATTTCTTAATCAGGGAATGCATTTCTCCTTCCTATACACAATTTGTTAACTTTGTAGCTTAGACTTTTCTGTGTGCTGCAGATATTAAATCTCTCTCTCACACACACACACACACACACAGAGTTCATAAATTTTACAAGTAGCCTGTTGTATGTTTCAGTTGAGATGGTTTAATTATGAACAACAGTAATAGAGTTGCCTGTGAATTATTGTTTTTTTTTTTTTTTCATCAATAGAAATAACTTGGTATGGAAACAGATAACAGAAGAATATGATTCGCTCCACTAAAATAAAAATGGTTAAGTTTGCCTATGCAGTAAAAGCTTTTCAGTCTAACATGTAAATATTAAGCGCATAGATGTGTCATTAATTGAGAAGCAAAAACAAGACAGTGCCTAACTGGCACTGCTATCAATATTACACTGGGTGATTTTAAATCCCGTTTAAAAAAATGGCATTACAATGACTCCAGGATGAAGATAAGTCTATATTTCATACCCAGATAGAAGGTGATGGCATTTAGAAACAAGACTATACATCCACCCATACCCAGAATAGAAGAAACAGCGACAACTGAACAGAGTTACATTCCAGATACTATTTATTACTGTCAAATGCCCTGCTAGCATCAACTGTTGTGTACTCATATGAAGAGAAAGCACATTCTTTAAATTTTCTCATTTTCAACTGTTTGGCAACAAGCAGAAAAAAACAAACTAACTTAAATGAGAGTGAAAGTTGAATATTTTCCTTAGCCCAAGAAGTTAACTATTGTTTATATATATATATAATATTATATATATACATATATGCCTATACTCAGCAACCTGTGTTCTATGTTAGAAAGACAGAGCTAACAAATCTGGATGGTGTATATGCAGGGGAAGTTATTTGTCAGATTGGTAAAGGGGTACTGAGGCATCTTTCTCTCTTTCTCTCTCTCTCTCTCTTTTTTTTTTTTTTTAAGTAATTTCTAGTGATATATTAAACTGAAATTCAATTACAAACCAAATATATATTGGCTAATATGAAGATTGGCTGGGCTAGCAAAGAGAAAGAAAGGGAAGATAGATTTGCTGAACACCAAAAAGATTGTCTGTTGTGAAAAGCCTTGCTGCAAAAAGGCTTGTTTCTAAGTTCTTATACTTGAAAATCTAGGTGGCACTTAAGGAGGCAAAGCAGTTGTGGAAACTATATCTTAATATTTTAGAATAAACTCAGAGCTAAGAGAACAACTTTATAATGATTCGTTATGGTACTTAGAGAGAGATACAAGTAAATAAAAATTAAATTCTTCTTCATAACCTCAGAAACATGTGATGTAGTAATATTTGTTATACAGACAATACATTGCATGTATGATCTTCAGTTAAAAACAGGGAAAACTAAATGTATATGAAATATGACATGCCTAAAGAAACTAATAATTACATAAAGCTTAAAATGTCATACTGAAGGGTTTTCTGGGTTTAGAACAAAGACTTTTTTTTCTGGCATAAATGATTTTTAAAATAAAATTTACTTTCTGGGAAAAAAAAAATCAATATATTGTTTTTGGGCAAATATATAGGCCTGAAATAAGAAAGTTTACCATGGAGGTGGAGAAGGTAGGATGGGGGTGGAGGTACGAAAAGAAGTTCACGGTAGTTCATTCTCTTCATGACCTTGTTTGCACACTGAATGTAATAGGTACACTCCATGATAACTGACTCATAAACCTGGCTATTTGGACAGCAACTAATGTCAAAACAAAAGTGAAGAAAACAACCAGGTCCCTCTCCAGCTTTCCTGTAGGCCCACTTTAGGTATAAGAAGGCCACTATAAGGTCTCCCTGTAGAGGCCAAGCAACCCCATATCCCTCAGATTGTCTTTGTAGGAGAAGTGTTCCAGTTCTATGATCATGTTTGTGGCCCTCCTCTGGACCCCTTCTAACAGGTCATATGTTGGAGCCCCCCAAGCTGAACACAGTACTGCAGGTAGTTAGCCTTAAGGATGCCTGAATGTACAACAGACAAATTCCACAAAATTCATTTCACAATAAAGACAGATACATTAAAATATCATCTGGCATATACAGCTGAGGTTCTGCCAAATTCACTTTGTGTAAATTTAACTTTTGTGTTAAGCCAACCAAAATGAATTATTATCACAGAACAACTGAGAGATGACCAAGAAGTGAAAATAAACATGAGGTTAATTAAATTTTGACTGGTAAGAGAATGGATAATACATTTATTTGTTGGCCATGCTGTTCATACCAGAATAAGAGAAGCATTCGATATATTCCATTTCCAAAAGAAGAACAGAGGTTATAAATTTTAAGACAGTTATGAAGCAGTTCTAGGAACAGTTGGCAGATCATATCAGCATTTAAGTAAAATCATTTGGGAATCTTCTATTATAATGATTTTCTGACATAAAATTCAATTTTGGAAAGAACAAAAATTCTCCCAAAAGATGTTGATTGTCCACTGGAGATGAATAAAAATCTAACATTTTATTGAAAGTCTAATTGACTGGGATATTCTGACAATCTAACTGCCTCAAAATATCTCACTTCGATTAACCAAGTATCAGACACCATTTTGTTATGATATATCTCCTAATGTATACTGCAATTCTGCCTCACCCCACCCCCCCTTTCTTTTGTAGTTTGTCAGAATGATTAGAAGACATTTTTTCTATGAAGTACTGCATCATTTTCATAACAGTCAAATTCCACTATGTTTCATGGAACCACGTGTCAGAGATGCATTAAATGAAATTGGATCCTATTAGATTAGGAGTAGAAACATTAACTATATCTACATTCTCATCAAGTAATAATTGTATTATGATAAAGGTGGATAAAACTACTTTTACTACTACTCCTACAACTCCGACTACTACTACGCTAATCATTTAGATGTTATGAATACCAGAATATTTAACTTCAGTTAACCTTTGGAGAAGGACTCTTTACTCGTGTAGATAATGGTAGGACAGGGTGGAATAGTCTTAAACTAAAAGAGAATAGATTTAGACTAGACATTAGGAGAAAATTCTTCAGTGTAAGGGTAGTGAGTCACTGAAACAGGTTGCCAAGAGAAGCTGTGGATGCCCCATCCGTGGAGATGTTCAAGGCCAGACTGGATGGGGCTTTGGGCAGCCTGATCTAGTGGGTGGCATCCTGGCATCCTTGCTTATGGCAGGGGGTTGGAGTTAGATGGTTTTTAATGTCCCTTCCACCACAAGCCATTCTATGATTCTATGATACAGAAAATATATACTTCAGTATTTCCAAATGATTTTTTCTCTCTCTCTCTCTTTTTTTTTTTTTTTTTTGGTGTAGAAACTAGTCTTTTTCTTCCCTTCTTTTAGGCTATTTGTTGCTGAAAGTTAGCATTGTCTGCTGAACAGACAGTGCAAACAATACCAAGTCCAATGGCTTCTAGTACTGCTCCTTACTGATCTTAGACAGAGCTAACAAAAATACCTGACAGACAATATTACCTCAGAAAACATACGGTAACAATGTAGAATCCAAAGTGCCCGGTTACAGCATTTAATTTTACCTGAATTTACCAGCATGAAAGTATCTAGTCTATGGTAACTGCCTGGATTGTGTCTATGGTTAATGAAAAGAAGCAGTGGGAGACCCATCCTTCTGGGTGATTCCTCTCTCTCCTCTCCGTCTCTTTTCCCATGATAGAATGTGTCTCTAAGCTACTCTATGAGATACCTTATTTTCAGTTACATAATTTAAGTCTAGGCATCTTTTGAAATAGCAACTTTTGAAAATGTTGCCCGTTATACCTTTTGATAAAATCATTGTCCTCCCATCAAACCTGAAAAACAAAAGAAAATGGAAAAAAAAAAAAAGAAAAAGTACTGTTAGGTAGCTAACATAGCTACCATCACAGTCACTTGGATTGAAATTTCCATTTTAATCTACCCAGAGTAACTTCCATGAACTGTCTCTTTCTGTTGTTCCTCTCACTTTGAATTAAATGGCAGTTTCTCTTGAGTGACAACTAAATGCCACGTCCTACAGAGCTGGCTGTATCCACTCATGCAATTGCTAAGTCACCTACCAGAAAGGGATCTAAACACCTCTCCTTTTCTTCTTTTATGTTCCTTAGTCACTTCAAGCTGCAGCTGCAATTCTGCTAAGGTTTAGTTATTTCTCTCCTCCCTCAAATGGTTATCTTTATATCTGTCTTTATTGCTATTTTCTAAGTTTACTTTTTACTGTTGAATTTTGGTCCTGTTTCTTTTTTATACGGTGGTCTTTGCTGAGCCACAGTCTATAACAGCAGCTTTCTTTTCTGCCACTCAGTTCAGCACTGCTTTTGCTTCTTTGTTGAGAGAACAGCCTGACTCTTCTTTCTAGGTTAGCATTCTAATCCATACTGGTGTAATCAGGGGTTAATATTTTGATTTTATGTGAAAAATTTCATATTCTCATGAGAAGAGTATGGTAAGACAAAGGCAGCATTTCAGTGCTATAAAAGAAATTTTACTGGCACTTGTCTTATCCTGTGTCTTTCATTCTCTAAATCTGAGTGATACGCCTGAGATGCTAAGTGTTAGGGATCTCATGCCTTTCCATCTTCTGCACAGAAGGAACTAAATCAGTCGGTCAAAACTATAAAGGGTTCTGGGATTTAGATATGAGCTAAACTCAAATATCACTGAACTTACTAAAACCCCAGAAGGAGCTGCATAATACAACCTGTCAAAATGTCAGTCATTTAACAACTGACCAAAAGAAAATTATACCAGATGTTAATTGCCAGGAAAAGGCAAATTCCCATATTTTCAGGCTCTCTTGTTTAATTGCCTCATTTTAAATCCATAACATGAATTTGTCGGGTTTTTAAAAGGTTAAGATTGCTAACATGAAATGCAACTAACTACAGATGCTCTGGGAAAGCAAGCATTAGCTGCTTCCAGACATTTTTTTCCAACAATTATGTGCTCGAAACAATGTAATTCCAGTCAAGACAGAATCTACTGATTGTGCTTCTAGTGTCTTTTGTTAAAGAATAACAGCAGCCTTTCTCTCCTCTATCCCTCCTCCCCCCTTTTCTTGCATGAATCAGATTTTTGGCAAAGGGGCTGCACCCTCCTCCTATCTAAATTTTCTTCCCATATGCTGAACAGGATTTAACCTTTTGTACCCATTTATTACATCAGCAGGCCCACATCCGCTGTTGTACATGGGGAAAACAAGCAGTACAACACTGAACAGAATGGTAATTATAGTCCTGGCTCCCACCCCAAGCCTTTCTACAAATGTGCACACACACACAAAGTCAGAGGAGGGAGAGAAACATTGATAGTGAGAAAGTAGCTACAGTTTAACAGAAGTGACCCACAGAATTCACTTTTTGAACTAATTTCTTCAATGGGAGTTACCTGACTCTCCTCAGGTACACTTGGTGGAGATTTATAATCTGATGAGGCTTAATTTCATACACTAGCGTTACCTATTTTTTTTTTTTTTCATGAGGATGTCATTGTCCCATGAGTGCACAATTCACAGAAACTGTATCTCTGTTATAATCCGAACTCACAATTTACTTTGCAGTAGATCAAACCAAAGTTCACCTGTTCCATGCAAGAGGCTGCAGCACTACAAACCAGATCACAAGTCAGTTAGAAATTCAGCCAAAGAACTCAGGCTGGCAACCAAGACCCTATAACTGGCTTAACTACTGTTATGGGGTTTTGAAAGAAACAGGGGCAAGATTTCCAGCAGACAATTTTGAGAAACTCTACAGTAAAAAGTCATATTCTTAGATGTAGGTTCCTGTTTCAGTTCTCAGCATGACAGCCAAGAAGATGGATATCACATGCATTGACTGCTACTTGAACTGTATTGAGCCACCAGATTTGTAAATTTTATCTTTAATAAATTGGAAATATATAACATGCTGTCTATATCACCTCACAAAAGCCTTTTTATAAAGATTTATATTAACTTACTGCCTTCAGATATAGGGACTAACTAGTTATATTTATTGTAAATTTGCTAATACAAAAGGTTATCTTCCAATATGACTCCAAGCTTGCTGAAATGCTCATATCTGAATTCCTCAATACAACTTTCATTAGTAACTGCTTAGAGAATGAGGGCTTAGTTAGTCCTATGAAATGCTCTGCATCTAGTGCACCAGAGTAGGTGATTCATGTGACTAGCCATCTACCTAACAACGCAGAATTCAAATATTCTATAGGACAATCTCTTTGGGAAATAGGCAACTGCCTTACACAGACATCTCGATAATTTCTAAAAGAAAATAAAAATCAATTGCATCATAAATCGTGTATTTTTGTAATTTGCAAATTGAAGATGTGAAATGTTGTGAATAAATAAGAAAGACAAGGCACTGAAAAAGACCTAAAACTTAATTTTGAGAAAATCATTTTTTCTAACATATTTCTATCTTAGACACCAGGATATCTAAATAATCCTTTAAAAATACAGATTTTAGCCCAAAACTTTCACTCTAATTTCAAATGTTAGCTTGACTATGGAACTAGGCATCTTTATAGAGCTTTCTTATGTTTCTTACCTACTAGTCCTGACAGCTAGATTTCTCTATATTCTGTTATGAGAAGCAAATTAATTATGAACACAAGGAAGACAGCTGTGAATAACCTAATTCACTGCTGTCTGTTATTGTTCTTCAGTAAGGGTGGGAAAAAAGATATTAGGGAAATATTTCAACAGCAACAACAAAAATCTAAAACTGCACCTTATTATTCACAGATATAAAATAAAAACACAAGCTAAAGAAATTAGTTATATTGTCCTAAGCAAAACAGTAAAAGCCTCATGCATGCGTCTTCAGAAATATATAAGTAAAGATTCAAATTAATTTGGGTTGATCTGTTGCTAGATAATTCTGCTGCTTTTATACACAAAATAATTGGGAATAAGTTGGTATAGTTATGGACAGGATTTATATATTAATTTTCTTCATGATGGTATTAATTTTACATTTTAAATAAGAAACAGAACTGTTGATCTTATTTAGGGAACATGCCCTAAAAGTTTTACAAAGTATGACTTTCCAGTGATGAACTAAAGATCTTCCTTTCTACTTTTTTTACTACAAGATTGACCCACTCTATTTTTTTAACTTTTATTCTCACTATATAGAATATCTTCTGCCTAAAAGAGTTCCATTCACCATCTTTTTTTCAGCCTACCATCAGTGAGTTCTAAGCTAAAAAAACACTTACAGGTTTCTAACAAGCACATTATACAATTTTAGATGTTTATACTCAGTGATTTAGTACTTCTGCTTGCATTCATCTATCTGCCTAGGTCTTCAATAACCAACAAAAAATAAATCTTCATACCATAGAGCACTTTCACACCCATCTCTTGCTTGTAGCCACTGGGCTATTGCCAAATCAGTATCTCCTTTCTAAATCACATGGTCTCAGAGGTATTACATCTGTTGGATATGGTTTCATCCCCCAAAAAACAGGACAATTAAAAGGAATGGTACATCTGCACCCTGTCCAGTCTAAAGGCAAAGATAGCTTTTAAATTAATATTCTATATTAAATTAATATATTATAGCCTGACTATGAAGCTATGAGGTACTTTGGACTGGGTTTCTATTGCTGACTCCTGCTTAAGTTATTATGCTGCTGCAAATAAATAATTTCTTGGACTTCTCTCTCCCATGTCCCAGCTGAATGCCGTAACTGCTAGTCTATAAAATCAGTTTTCCATTCTTCATCTTCCATTCTCATCTGTGGTCCAACAAACGTTTAATTAAACACACATTTAATAGCAATAGCAATTGCACTGGCAATCAGACTTAGTCTGAAGCCACTGGAAACATAAATCTGTCACTGGGGCTCAACTCAGAATAACTTTTAAAAGTGTTTTAGCTTCCTCTTACATACTATCATATCCTTTATCAGGAATGTCTCTAGAAAAAGTATGCAAATCAATCTTGCCACTGGAAATTAATAATG